TAGAGCAAAGCCTTAGAAAAGTCCCAGGACTTGGAGCTTAATGAGCTTTGCCCAGTTGTATCCCAAACTAATGCATCGACTGCTCTGGCTGCTTAAGAATTCTACATGATCCACCACATCCCTCCATATTTCTTTCAATGCGTCTGTGAACATGTGTGTGCATCCACTCTATATGGCTGGCATAAAAAGTCAAAACCAGCTGCATTTCGGCTCTGTCTCATTGGCAAAGCGTTTGCGGTCTTAACTTGCTTATGGTCATGGGTATTTCGGGGCCACAGCATTTTATGCAGAAGCATGCTCTTAGGGCTGGGATGGAAAGTGCATTGCTGAAGATTTGGCAGAGCCATTCAGAAATGTCGAGCGCCAAGCCGGAATAGAAATAGGCCAAAGTTTATGGAATGCCGCAGGGCCTCAGATGCTTCACTGGCTTATTGAATGCAGACGCACAATTTCTAATTGTCTAACTCAATTTGGGGCACAGCCGACTCTGCGTAAACAACCACCATCCTGCCCCGTTCCGATGAAAGTTTAGTGTCAAATGGGTAAATTTGATTACGATTCTTAGTTGGGTTATGGTAATCGAGTTGGAAATACTTCAAAGTTTCGATAATAACCATGATGATGGCCTTGTCGCTCAGCTACGGGCTATGTGCTAGGCTGCCACGCAATTTGCCAGCCGCCCCTTTGAAAGGCTTTCAGTTGGGGCCGAAATAGTCGTCATAATAAATGAATAACTCGCCTTGGAAATTTCGGGCTGAGGCTGCTCTCGAAGTACTAATAGCGCGCAAAAGTATGCCATGAAATATGCATAAAATCACTTGCAAATGCGCTAAGCGAGCGACGTGGCATGGCGGCGGGCTGAATCGTTTCAGTTTTTGTTGCTGTTGCTGCATTTTGGCAAACGAGCTGCCAAATCAAAAATCGTTGAGCGTGTGAAGTGTCAGTTGGTGGGAGCAGGAAGCGGGTGGAGCAGGGAAATGCACATTAGACAGCAGCCATGGCAGTCGACGTTTTGGGGAAATTGCCTGGAAGGAGATCCGAGTGGCAATGGGAGCAGCCCGGCTGGAGTTGGAGCTGGGCTTAAATAGAACGAATATACCGGGGAGAATAAAAAATTCACCCCATAAAAGCTGAATGCTCGAAATGCCTGTGTGTGCGGGCCACGTTTAATTGGCCTGAAGCCTCAAATTATGCAATAGTTGCAGTCGAAATTGACCGCAAACAAACCAGCAATAATTTTGGAAATCATTTTTGTGCGCCATAATTTATGCAGAAATTCAATCTAAATTAAACATCAAACAAAGCCAAAAGGCCACTGCCACTCCCACTTGCCCCACTCCCCCTGGTCGTGTCTGGCGGGGCATGCAATGCTCATTGCGACACATTCGCACCTGCAATTAGCTCAATGAACCTGCCAGGCCCGCGCCAATCCGCGCTCCTGTCACTCAACGCACGCGGCAGCTGTCCAAAATGTAATATTTAACGCCATTTTATGCAAATTGAAATTATGTTAATGGGCAGCCAACCAGCAATTGATGATGACGTCTGCCCGTGTGCAAAAACCCAGCTCCGGGGCTGATGATGATGACCAACAGTCCAGCGTTCAAACAGTCCGGTGCATCGAATGGTATCGCTTAAAGCACTTTGCATGTTTATTACTTGATGTGCACCTTCATCTCGCTCTGATTCTGTCGATGTCTTTGCCGATTAATGGCAATGGAATGGAAATGGAATGAGAATGTGAATGGGAATGTGAATGTGAATGCGAATGCTTGACAAGTCTGCTCGGCTCATTTGCATTTTAATAATAATAATCACAATAATGCACAATAGCTGCAGAAGCAGTGGCAACAACGAGGATAACAATAAGCACATGAAATCTCACATTCATCGGGAGGCGATGTGATAAGCTGTCGGAGCTGCAGTTCATCAAGTTCCCAGTTCTCGGCTCCCACAATGGCACGTTCCATCTCCTTCGATGGCAGCCGCCGCATGTGCAGCATTTACATCTTTCTTTCCCTCCGCCCCAATCCCCGACCCCATTACCCAGCTGCCGAGCTACTGTTTGTTGTCGTTAACGTTTTGTTTATATTTGCTTAAATGTGCGGCGCATACTCATAATTAGTATGCATGTGTGCATCTGGGGGATGCGTATTTGTGCATATGTCTGTGTCAGCAATGTCTGCTTGTGTGTGTGTGTGTGTGTGTGTGTGAGTGGAACTGCGCTGGTATTGCAATTTGCTTTTGTTTGGTTTAAAAAGCGCGTTAAATTTGATCATTGTTGCCAGCGGCTTTGTTTGCCCTCTCATTTGCCGCTGGAAGTGTGAACGAGTTAAGGCCCCTCCTAACGCACAGCGACCATTCCTCATTATCCCATCTCAGATCCATAAAAACCCCAGAATCTGCCCTGATACTCAATACTTGCACTCACCCGAGGGGACAGAGTCATAAAATTGCGTATACGTACCTAGAAAGAGAACAAGAAAAGGTTGTTAATTTGGTAAGCAAGGCAGCAGGATGAGGCGGAAGTGAGATATGGTTGGGAAAAGGTTCGGGATACTTCCAGTGACAACGCCTAAGTGGGGCTTAAAAATTCAATAAAAAATCACTTAACATTCCATAAGAAGCTTTCAACGTTTCACATACCCACACACACACTCACACACACTGGCAACGGCTTAGGGAGAAAGTTGTGGAGAAAGTGGCAGAGAGGAGAGTGGACTCAAAAGTGCTGTCGATTCCTGCAGACTGCAGACTGGGAAAATGGCAAAAATTGCAGGAAACTAAAGCAATTTCAAATTGAAAACTGCTGCAAATTAATCAAATGCCTCTGCAGCTTGAAAAGCGGAGTGGAGAGGGCGGAGAGTGGGGGAAGAGCGGTCAAAAGACAGGACTTGCAAACAAACACGAAAATGTCAGTCAGTCACAAAGACAGAGGCGAACGATAAAAGCCAAAGCCAAAGGCAAGCGACCCTTTTCCGAACCCAACCCTTCATCTGCCGCACACTAGGGGTATATATACTTATATATATATATATATTATATATATCGTAACGCATTAAATCGATAACACGATTTTTCAGCACGCACACAACCCCGGTTTCCCGTCGAACCCAGACTGAAACCCAAAACAACTGGCTGACTGTGAGTTAAATTGTCAGTTTCATTACGTGGCAGCTTTCCTCACCCCTTCTCCTTTCTCCTCCTTGGAGCTTCGGAATGTTTCCTTGCTTTTTTAAAGCCAAATCACTACGTCTGCGCGTGAGTCTACCCCGTCACTCCGCTCGCATTGCGACAAGCGATTTTTCAAGTTGCCGCTTCATCGTTCTCCGGAGCTGCCTCTGCTCCTGCTGCTGTTCCTCTATCCATTTTTTGTACGGCTCTGCGGTTTCTGGGCGCCAAGCAAACTCGATTTTCGGCAGAGGGCAGAGACGCATCGAGAGCGGAGACGCGAAGCCCTTGGGACTCCTCGAGTCCTGCGTTCTCGAGAACTTAAGGACCTCGACGCTGGTGAGTTCAACAAACATTTAACTGATTGCCTGGGCGTGTGTTCGTGCCCAGCCCTGCCTGATTTTTTGATTTGCAATACACCTGGGAGCGAGGCAGCCCTTGGCCACGAAAATGTTTAGCTTATTTGTTAGCGCTGGAAAATAAATTGTCTGTGCGTGCGGTAATTGTAAATTACGAACGGACGGACAGAGGAACGCTTCCGTGGCAAGTGTCAGTGGAGCAGCCAAGTTATTGACACCTCTCCGACGTACGGGTATGCCATGAATTTTTGATCGAAACTATGAGTGGGGCCACGAGGGTGGGACGCACTAAACTAGGCTTTTGATTGCAGGTCCCCAACCAATCCAAGCCATGCCAATGCCAATCCAATCGCATCCCAGTCCCAATATCAATACCAAACCCAATACCAAGCCCAATCCCGCCCCAACCAATTCAATCAGAGGGTGTGCAACCCTCAGAGTAATCCACTTTGGGCCCGAAAGTATGCAACAATTTCTTTTAAACTTCCTGCTGACACAAATCAGCCCACGGCCATAACTCAAACTATCTCCACCTCCGTTCGGCAGAATCAATAACCATAAACAGAAATTCCTTATGCTCACGTGGAGGAGGCGCATAAAAAGTATGCCACATGCTCGGGGAAATCACTAAATTCAAGCCGAGGCAACGAGTGCCTCATCAGTTATGTGTGGCAGGGGCAAGAAAAGGCAAGCCCCAAAACCAAGCCGTGCCCACGTTGATAACTGAGAGTGCTTATCACGCCCACTCCCCTTCCCCGACTACCGACTACCGACTACCGACTACCGACTGCATGTGACATTTGCATGCTTACTTAAACAGCAAAAAGCAGGCTCTACGACAGCCACGTCGAGCTTGGCACGTCTGCGTCAACTATGCTTTACATTTCGGCCAGACTCGGTCTCGGTCTCAGTCTGAGCCAGAGCCGGAGCCGCAGTCGGAGAGTTATAGTTCGAGTCTGGGCCAGGACCAGGCCCACTGGTGTTGTCAGTAGGCAGTCGCAATCCTGTCGACGTCACATCAGCACACGTGTGTAGTAAAAATCAGACGTGTGGGCGCTGCTCGAGGAGCACAGGAGCGGCAAAGTCGAGGCGCTCTAGTTGCCGCAGTCGGGCCGAGTCCTGCCTCCATGTACTTTGATTGCTTGCACGTTACCCGTACAATTTTCGGTATGATGGCGGCAACATTTCATGATTTCTTGTACGTGTTTCTGCCTGAAAGCACGCGTCCTTTCCTCAGCCGCTCTGCCACTCTGCAGCATGTCCCGTGTCCCACGTCCTTCCTTTTCCCTCCTCCCTCGTCCCAGATCTATTCCGGCTCATGGGTTCCGGAGTAATGTATGCAAGCACTTTTTGTATATGACGCCGTTGCGCTTTGGGTCGTCGTCGGAGTGTTTGTTTGCCTGGTGACTGATGATGGTTTGGCTGGTTTTGCTCAGTTCCCACTTCGGCTCTAGCTCCGGCTTCTATCGCCGCCTGTTTTTCCCGGCAGCAGCGAATCGAGCGTTTGTCCTGCTAATAAATCAATGACGCCATTCGGAGACTCCCAAGTAGGCGATGATTTATGTCTGGCTAAAGGGTTTCCAGGATTCCCGGGCCTAATTGAGTTGCCCTTGATGAATCAGTCATTTCTGGAGTGTCGTCTTTTCAGTCCCAAGTAGAGTCCGCTTTCAACGATTCAAAAATTCAACGTTCTCCTTTTCTGAGTATTTTTCATTTAAGAACTTAATTTTTAAATCTTTTGGTACGTTTAAGAATGGAAATTGTCGAGGTAACTGTGCCCCCGGTGGATTCGCACTGGTCTCTGAAGTTCGTGGACATCTGGAAGCCCTTTCCCAAGAAGACTTTGGCCAATGCCACCTACAAGGTCATCCGCTTCTTCTATCCCCCCTTTGCCCTGGAGAAGGTCAATGTCACCCAAGTGGTCGAAGATCCCGAATTGAATGCCCTAAACGTGGGCCTCTTTCTGCTCCCTTTACTGGTGGCCTTCCTCGTCTATGGAGGGTACAAGTATCTGCGAAAAGAATCTGACAGAGAATCTGTACAGAGTCGAGTGGTTCGAGAGGAGCCACCACAGCTGGACGAGCTCGAGGAGCGCATGAAGACCAAGTACGGTCCTGAGTACAAGCAGGGAATCTGGAAGCGGAAGGACATCCCCGATCCTCCCTTCCAAAGAGCACCTCTCACCTCTCAGAGCACACTGGACTACGAGAGCCAGTCTAGCTACGACATTGAACTACCCGAGTCAATGGAAAACACCAAAAATTTGGATGCTTTCATGGAGAAGCCTAATTTCACCTTTGGCGACGAGGTGAAGTCCCGCTTGTTCCTTAGAGCCCCTCAGATGGATCATCATTCAGAACTAGATAAGCTTATCAGGAGCACGGTTGAAGAGTCTTCCGGATTGGAAGGTATAGTGAAGGAGAAGCCTTAACAAAGAAGTTCCTTTTCGACTTTTTACTCCCTCTAATCGAGGCAAGTTCTTTTCTATCCTTTAAACGAGAAAATCGATTTAAGATCCTTCATTTCCGTTTAATGATTCGGCCCTTTTTCAGCCACTGGGAAAGTGTCAGCTTTCGGCTTTCCCTGTTGGTGCAATAAAATGAAGTGATTTCCCAGTTTTATATTCCTCGCAAACACACACACTGAGAGAAGGAAAAAGGGAAGACACTGCATATAGGATTAGGTCGGGGTTTTGGGGCGAGGACTTGGGTAATCATTTGGCAGCGCATGTGTCGGATTATTTTGTTGGTTTGCGTTTTATTTAAATTTGCTTCTTTTGGCTGCCATTTCGCTTCTGCGGTGGTTGTTTGTCGCCCCAAAATCTGACAGCAGCCGAAAAGCATGCTAAGCTTTTCGTTCTTTTCGGTTTGCTTTGGTTTGGCTCTGAAAACAAATTAATGATTTGCCATCAAGCAAATAAATCAAAAGCTTCAAAGCAGATCTCTGGCTTAGCTCGCCGGGGTGTGCGACTCTGCGGCTGGCTGCGATTTAAGGCCCTTTCATCTCTTCCTGGCCCACTTTAAAGCGAGAGAGAGGCCCCGATTCATAGTTTTATTTTTCAGCTATTTCCACTCAACTAAGCGCATGCATTGATGATATATCCCTCCCCCTCCCCCTCCCCTCCGCTTGACACCCCATTCCCATTGACACGACATAAATAACCGTGTGAGGCTGTTATAATTTATAATCCTTGCTGTGGGCGTCCCAACAGCAACAACAACAATAACAACAACAGGAATAACAAGAGCAGAAATAACATTGGACTGCCACGGGGAAGTGCAAATATTTTTACTTGCTCCTCTCGTTCTCTATGATCCGGGCTGGCTCCTTCCTTTTTTTGTCGTTTTTATTTATTCGAAACCTGCCCAGGCGGAATCTCTCCGGCTCAGTCAGCCTCACCCAGGTTGGCAGCACAAATATTTTGTTGGTTCCCCTTGCCACGGACTCAGGGCCACACCCCTTTTCGCCTGCATTTAGTTTACGAGTGCCATGGTGTGTGTGTGCGACTTTTTTTCCGGTAAAATGAGGTCAAAAGTTTATTGGCTAACAAATGTGTGCGAAAGTAGGAGGGGTGTTGTTTTCGCTGGCATTAATGTCAGACGCAGGCGAGGCTGCGGAGTTCCTGGCATGGCTTTAACGCCAAATGTCGATAAACAAATTGCATGCACTTAGCTACAGGCCCCATCGAGATGGGCAAGATTAGGCCGATCCAAATGGGTTTTAAATGATCCTGCAGCACCACAGACGGGCCATCGATGGTCTATGGGCTACCACAAGAATCAGCCAGCCTCCAATGGCCGCTGCTCCCACCGCCGGCTAATTACAAACCAATCAGCCAAATAATAAATTTCAAATAAATTATGGAACATCGAAATTGGCTAATGCATTCCAGTGGCACGGCCAACAAAAAACGGCAAAGGAATATTGGGCCAACAAAACCAGAGCTGCCAAATGCACTAAAATGTTAAGCTTTTTAATTGTGGTTGGGAAAGAGGGAATAACTACTTAAATTATTTATGTTTATCGCATAACATGTTTGTCAGATGCATGAACTGCTCATTTAGGATAGTAAGGGCAGAGGAAACTGGGATTTCCCATTCACATTCGACTGAACATCAATCGAAGTGCTGTAATTCGGAAGGATTCGGGTTTCTTCTTGTGATCAGGCCACGGCGGACTTATCCTCCCCCGGATGCCTAAGTTCATTCCCCATAAAAGCATTTGGTTCAATGTTTAATGAGGGTGGACTGAATAATAGAGTAGGCCTACCTTTGTGTTTGCCACCTTCCCCGCTGGGAAAACAATCCCTTACCCCTTACCCCTTACCCCTTACCGGAGCAAACTGCCAACGCAATGATTATGACAGCTTCTTTGCCCTGGCTCTCTGCTCCTGTCAGTTGGCACTGGTCTCCACTGTAGTAGCTAAGGCTACAGATTTCCTGGCAGCTTGGGCTTTAATTAAACGGCAATTGTGGTCATCAGTTGTCAGGTTCTCTTGTGCCTAATCAGTTTGTGTGATGAAAGACTAAGCCGGGATTACGGAATGTCTGCCATGCGGGTGCGACATTTGAATAATGAATGTCAACTCGATGTTCGTCTTGCAGGCGAAAAATATAAGCCCGGACTAAGTCCCAAATGTCACTCAGCTGTCAATTGTAAGCAAATCTGAGGCGCCGAGATTCGGCCGGCTGAGCAAGTGGAGGCCAACTGGCCAACTAATTGGGGCGTGGCCGGTTCTGGCCAGCTGACAAACTAACTGACCATCTAACTGACGTAACCAGGCACAGCAATTGGCCTGCCCGTTGGTCTGTCTGAATGTCTCAATGTCCGACTGTCAGATGGGTGTCCCTTCTGTGTGCCTGCTGCTTGACCATAAACTAATGCACCTAATTGCTGTGATTATGTCGTTTGTGATTATCTGAGTGTGCCCCTGTGCGTCCTTGGCCCGTGCTCGTCTTCGGGAGAGGCCTGTTCCTGTGCCTGCCTGCACACGTTGCATACAATTAGGCGCCGCAAAAGCTAAATCTCATTTATCAATCACGTGTTCTCTGCCTTTCGGCGCGACAATATTCGATAATTGGCCAAAGCCATCATTGATAATCCCAGCCGGCTCAGAATTCCGATGCTGATTGGGTTAACAAATAACCACAGTAACCATCCTCCCCTCCTCTTGCCTCGTCGTTGCTGTTAAGTTCCAAAACTTTGGCTACCCCTTTCTCTGGCCTGATTCATCTTCGGGCTGTCGGAAACTTTCTGCTGACAAGTGTGACAAGTTTTAAGGCCCATAACTAAGGCAGCAAGCAGCCACCCCAGTTCACCTTGTTTGAACGACTCCGAAGGCAAAACTCCCCGAACAAATGCTGTGGTTTCCTGCCACCAGCCTAGGCCCATTACACATGTAGAAGGTAAAGCAATAATAGTAAATTTAAACCCACCCAACGGGGCGGAAATGGGAATGGAAATGGAGGAGGAGGTGGAGATGGAGCTTTCTATGGAGAGACTTCACATGACTAGTTAAACTTTTTGCCATTGTAATAGTTATGCTTGGTTGGTTTCTCTTTCTTTCGAGACAGAAACCGAACCGAACCGAATCCCGCAAAGCGAAGGATCCTTGGGGGTGGCTGCTTTACATGCTCCTGACTCCTGACTCCTGGCTCTGCTGCCGGCTCGGGTTTCTCTGGTTATGCGCATAATTTATAGAGTGCGACAATATGTTGCCCTCTGTCTGGCTCCCAGAAAACTTTTCGATTCCGTTCAAGAAAGTAAGATTTCTCTGACCGATACAGCTGCCAAATTCGAGTGTGTGCGATGGTCCATTTTTGGGGGTCAAAGAGCAGGCAGGAGTCAAGGCTATTACCATAAGGGTATTTGGAAGACGCCGTTCTCTCGCCGAGGACTCTCTGGCCTCTCTGCTCCAACCCGCCACCAGATTGCGAATTCTCATTGAAGCCAGCTCCCTGAGGAAAACTGCGGGAAAATAAAACTCTAGTCGCACACACTCGCTCGCTTTTCTTTTTGGGGGGAACGTTTAGGGCGATAAAAATGCAGAAACAAAAACATTTGGTTAGTTGCATAAATTCCGTTACACTCGTTGTTGCTGCCGCCGCCGGTCCGCTGATAAAACAGCGTCAAAAAAGTGTCGTCGGGGGAGCAACTTAAGTAAAGCTGCGCAGAGCCAGGGAGAGATGTTGGCAGATAGGAAAGCGAGTTTGTTACGTTGCCTAAACAAGCTGCGGGGCAGGCACAGGCAACAGCAACCAGCAAGCGAAAAAGTTTTAAATACACATTTACGTTGGGTAAACTTGGTCTCGTTTCCGCCGCATTAAAATTTAAATATTTGTTGCCTTGGCATACTTTCGGCTGTGGGCCGCATATTCGGTCACACTTTAATCGGGGACCTGCAGTTCAATGGCCTCCTCAAGACGATGGGGCGGGAATGTTGGCCATAAGTTTCTCGCATGCCTCTTAATCCTGCCGCAAATCCCATGCCGCAAACTAGCGCACACATGCAACCCTCCGTTCGTATCTCTATTTACAAGTTATGTCCCACGTAAAGGTAAAGGTAAATAAAGTTGCAACAAGCGGTGCTGCTGTTGCAACTCGCTCATTGCATGCCACCAAAGTGACGTGCACTCCCCTTGCCGCTCTTCCCCCCTGCTCTGCGCGCGTTGGTGGTTTGCCGTACAAATCCCAAAACCATTTCACTAATTGAAATGAATTTTCATACACCAGAAAGAGGAGCAGCGGCAGCGGCAGCAGGATGTGGGGCAACTTGGAACAGCCCTCCGTTGCACTTGTGTGTTGTGTGTTGTGTGTGAGTGGCAGACACTTTCGTGTCGCAGCACAAAATTGCAATGACCTCGGGCAACAACAAGACCGTTGCAGCCAAATATGGGAAATAAACGGCAAAAGGCAGCCGAGATGCCTGCCACGTCACAAGATCCTACGTTCCGTACAGTTGAATGACTTATCATCTGGGTGGGAGCGGAAGCCTCGAGTCCCGAAATCGCACAGGCTGGCTCACAAAGCTGTCGAATGAAATATGAATTCGGTTTTCGAGATAGTCGGCTATATATAATTTATCAAAGTTCTTCTTTTGAGCCAGCCTGGGCCGGCTTTCACTTGCGCTCTAAAAACATTCCAATTAAAAATTCATATGGAGTAATTTTGCTGCTGTTGGGATTTGAGTCCCGATCCCCAAAAGGATTGAACCACTCGACGTGTCTCAAGATGCCGGCGGAGAAAGTAAATGGGCGGAGAAAACGCAGCGTCTTTTTATTTGAATAATTATGCAATATCCCCCGTCCTGAGGAATTTTCAAGTTCATAATTATGCGATGGCTGGCTGCATTCCCCAGGCTCCTCTAGCCCTCCGGCCCTCCCTCTCGCCACTTCCCACTTCCTTTTCCATTTTTAATTTATTTTGAATAAGCAGAAAAGGCACAAAAGACGTTGCCCAGACACTGTCGGCATTTCCCACAACGGAAGTCACTACCCACAGCTGCTGAGGCTGCCGATGGTGCTGCTCCTGCTTGTTTACATTCTGTTCTGTGTGGCTGGCCAGGCGCTCCACTGCGTATACGTAATGTCGAGTAATGTGCGCACTCCTTGCGAAC